TGAGTCGTTTAAATAGTCACTCCTAGTGTTTTTACTTGTTTGTGTTGTTTGCGTGTTATCTTTTCCTTGGACCTCTCCTTGTTCTACACAAAACAATGTCATATCCATCTAAACTGCTGAGTAGTAATTCATTTTAATTATATTATGTTGAGCTAACAAACATTGTGTTCTTCCTTGGAGCAGACACGCATGTTGTAACAGCCGTCACCACCGCGCGTTGTTCTTGCAGTGTTATCTTCAATGTCGTCAGTGTTTTCTTGCGTCCGTGTCATATTCGGGGAATGTAGGTTTTGCTCCGTTGTCTCAGAGACATATTCCCTTTGGTGTTACAGGACGTGTTAACATTTAAGGGAATTAACTTGTGTAAAACATCGGGACATGTATTACCCATGTAGGAGATAAGATTTGCATACAGAATTGTGGTCGGAAAACCTTACTCGTTTAAAACCCGGTGGTAACTGTATGTACCACTTGCTTCAGCAGTCAATAATTTTATTTATGGGTTTTATGTGATATTTAGAATAAACAGAAATTGTTTTCCTCGTTGTTTTATTTGTGGTAACAACTGAATATTTAAATATTATTTCGAGAGCATCGTAGCAAAAGGGCGTATAAGCATGCGTGCATAATCGGAGGTATTTGGTCTAACATCATGGAACAGTGGGATGCATGCTATGGCAGAAAGTCGTAATTCTCACGCTGTTCCACTCAGAGTTACAGATAATTACATTTGGACGCATGGACACTAATAATGAACATTTATCAAACCAAATAAACGTAAGAATTTAGTGTCCTGTAAGCCTCGGCTTCAAAAAATGATAGAATGAAATACTTCGACGCTGTTAGCCGGGCTAACACACGTTCCACTCGGGTTTGCTTTATATAAAACATTATATTCACCAAGCAACCAGACCAGAGGAGGGAATTAACGAATAAAACAGAAAGATGTTATTATGGTATAATTGTCAGAATAAGATAATTACTTTTAGGAGATTCGTTACTTTAAATAGGATCCACAAGTGCGTAGAGAACTTTGCTTTCTTTATCCAAAATAAAACTTTAAATTAAGACGGCTGTCCCCTGGGATGTAACGCCGTGTAGTTCAGAGTTTGCAATTCAAACTCATTATGCTGTCTTTGCAATCTGATAACTACACGAAGTCTCTTTGTATGAACTTTATTATTATGTCAGATTGTGGATAGGTTTATTTAATAAAAGCACAGCCTGCCTCTTCCCCCCTCCCCCTGTTTTAACGCTTGGTGGAAGCTTCTGTTAATAAGTGCAGCGGCAACTGTCAGATTTTTGATACTGATTAGGGGAGTCTTGTTACTGTTTGATCATGGCACCACAGCGTGGAGACGAGACGGAAATGTCACTCTTTTTGAATAGCCGGACGCGAAGCCAGGACGTACAGTGACGTGTTTATTATGCGTTATTTACACGAAGTAATTGAAATGAACGCGTAATTCGGAATTCGTGTCGTTCATGTCGACAACAGTTGACCGGATTACGATTGAATTTGGTATTGGACGTCTTCAATAAAAGTTGACGGAAATATCTGCTGCAATATAACCCCAATTTTGCTTGAATCGTAGATTGAAGTATATCGGTTTAGAAAAACGATTAATCGCAAAATTTGTATTTAGTCATGCAGGCCTATAGTTCTTTTTGGTTTTGCCACAAAGGTTGAAGGATTTGAAGAAAAGTAAACGCCACAGCTTCTTCCAGCCTCTTATCTCTGCTCGGCTTTATCGCTGGTCTAGCGGTTAGAACGCTGGCCTTGTAATCCTGGGGTCTCGGGTTCGATTCCCGGCGGTGCCCGAATTTATAACTTGTGTTGGGCAAGGCCGTGGTCTAGGCAACACGGAGTTTTCCTCCGTGGCATCCCAACAATTACTCCATTCACACACAGAAGAAGGCAACGGCAAACCACTTCTGGATCATCTGCCAAAAACGTATATGAACAGGTCCCAGTCCGAGAAAAGGATGGAAGGATCCTGTTCATATGGACCTGTCGTCAGACAGAACACTAAATAAATAAATACATAACCCACAGTTCGCAGGAATCCAGCTGGTTAATCCTAAACACGAAGCGTTTGAGAGATCACCGTGTAGTCTGTCTCATGTGGATGTACAATTTGTTGTTACGCAGAACTAAAGCAGTTTGCTGTATAAATGAGTCTAGGAACAAGGCAGAGGAACTAGGACCCAAAATATGGTTCCTGTTAATGATGGATGGAGGAAACACGCACAGGATCCCTTGCGTCTCCAGGATATACATTTTAGTCTTCGTAAGCCTAGCTGCAACTGTCAGGGATGTGACAAACCCGTAAAGGAAGAGTGCGTTTTGTCTAGGGCCCGCCGTGCCGTTTGTTTTGATGTTGGGCGAATTCTTCACAGTTACACACATTGCACCCCGATTTACTCGGTAGTTCCTTTCCTCGAAAACTTTGTGTCCAAAACTAATTAAGTTCCTGACTGGATGTTTTTCACTTGTAAATTTAATTATTGTGATCTCTGCCCCCATTATGTGAAACTACATCTTTACGTTAAAGAATATCCATAGAAGCATTGTAATATTTAGACGTATTAACGAATATCTGCATTTATTTTAGAAAAATATGGCATTGTAGTTATATGATCACGCAAATTCCTTAATGACAGTATCATTTTACAATGAAGATACGCTCTGTATTTTAAATAAAAACAATTTATTTAATTTGGTAATGAATTCAACTTTTACCAGACTACACGGCACTGTAACCCAGAAGACAGCCATCTTCATTCAAGTATACATTTTCTTTTCTTCAGTGATAAACCGTTTCATTTCAGTAGATGTAATTTTACGTAAGAGTCACGATGAACCTAAGTTTTCCATCCAAGTTCTGTTTCAGACACATTTTTACTATCATAATAGGATTGGAACTTAATTTAATGCACTGTATAATAAGTAACAGTGCCACGGTGGTCTAGCGGTTAGAAGGCTGGCCTTGTAATCCTGGGGTCTCGGGTTCAATTCCCGGCGGTGCCCGAATTTATAACTTGTGTTGGGCAAGGCCGTGGTCTAGGCAACACGGAGTTTTCCTCCGTGGCATCCCAACAATTACTCCATTCACACACAGAAGAAGGCAATGGCAAACCACTTCTGGATCATCTGCCAAGAACGTATATGAACAGGTCCCAGTCCGAGAAAAGGATGGAAGGATCCTGTTCATATGGACCTGTCGTCAGACAGAACACTACAAATAAAAAAATAATAATAACAAGTAATTAACGACCAGGTGCGGTTCGCATAAGTGTCCTAGTAGCCTATATTAAGTGCGTAATAAAATAAATAGGTCTAAGTAACGAGCAGGAAAGTATAGTAGCGAAAGTTGCCTGTGTGTCGTGGGTTCGAATCCATCGCTCAACAGTGGTACGATGGGCACTAGTCATGTCGTTGGAGCTGCGTTCAGTTTTTCCCCGATGTTCTCCCCTGTTCAGAGCCCCTCACGACGACTCAAGCCACTTTGTCTGTGTCTACTGTGGTGTAAAATTAAGTGGGCAGAAAATGCCTGCGCGAGTGTCTTCTGTAGGCAACTAGAAGCAATCGATCTTTCTCTTCTTCGAGAGTGTTTGGATTGTTTCAACGGAGTTGCCGGTGAGGGTTTCAGTTTCGGATGCGTGTGTGAAAGACGGACCTGCGGTTCGTAACATGAAGAAGGTATTTTCTTGGCGCCGAGTCTAGATGCCGGACATCGCTATGTTAAACTTGCCCGGTATTTTAGTCTGTTTACATCTATTTACGGTTTAAAATATTCGTGGTATCTGTTGTTTTATATTAACGTCGGACTTGGGCTCTTGGTTCTCAAAGAACACGGCCTTCACGTATAGTTTCGATGTTGGTCTTCTGGGTTGTGCACTTGCAGGTTAGATACCAGCGTTAAAAATAAACAGAGTGCGTCTGACTTGAGTCCTGAAAATGGAGGCAGTATATTTATTTAGTGTTCTGTCTGACGACAGGTCCATATGAACAGGATCCTTCCATCCTTTTCTCGGACTGGGACCTGTTCATATACGTTCTTGGCAGATGATCCAGAAGTGGTTTGCTATTGCCTTCTTCTGTGTGTGAATGGAGTAATTGTGGGGATGCCACGGAGGAAAACTCCGTGTTGCCTAGACCACGGCCTTGCCCAACACAAGTTATAAATTCGGGCACCGCCGGGAATCGAACCCGAGACCCCAGGATTACAAGGCCAGCGTTCTAACCGCTAGACCACCGTGGCGGTTATCGAGACTGTACTGAGAATAATATCTGATAACAATCTTTCTGGAGAAACCCTAACATCGGAAAGAGTAATAAGTAATTACCGGTAATAAATGCTGTTGGGAAAGATGATTGAAATGCTATTATGTTATTCATAATGAATTAGAGAATAGAATAGTTGATTTATTTATTCCTTTACTTGGCACTGTAAACACTGCAGAGATTATATAAACGTCGAATGGAGTGATAAGATTTATAAATGGTGAGTAGGTTTTGAAAGGACCTGGTTGTGCTAGCTTGAATGTCTGGAGAGGCTGAGTAAAAGCACATGTGTCAGTCTGTATTCCTTCGGAACCTTAAGGTGTACAATAACCTATAGTAATGAGTGGTTAAATTAATATTTTTGACACAATGAATAAGTTTAGCAATCTGCGTAAACATGGTTCGTCACTGAAAATGGGAGCGTACAAGTTAAAGGGTTAAACGAAACGTTTCTGCTCAGACACTCCCGATAAAGGTGACGCTATTGTGGCGTCTTGAACAAATAATTTTCATTTTTCTGACGTTTTGCGTTTCGTCGCGTCGATTTCTAGTGTTCAACAGACGTCGTTACTAAGCGTATACAAGTACCATCTGTTGAGGATATCTGGAACTTTTAGAAGTCGTCCGTTCTTTCATGTAAGAATGTTGTAAGTGGCTTACAAAATTTTTTGTTTGTTATTGATATTGTGATTATGTCCGTTCTCTCCCGCAGGGCTACACTCCTCTGCACATGGCCATGCAGTTTGGACACGAAGAAATATACAATCTTCTCTTCAAAGTCTATGGTAAGTTCTGTTCCTTCAAAATGGCTTCTTATTTGCTTTTATCATGAACGAGCTTTCCTCTCTTGTGTTGGTTGATTCGTCGATGTTAGTTGTTATGAAATATTTTCTTTTCAAAAAATTAAATTAGGCTAATTAGTTTTACCTTTGCGCTATTCGGAGTAATTTAAATAGACTCTTGTCGATATAATTTAATCTTATGTACGAAGTGAAGCATTCGCGGCGACTGAAGTTGAACCTTCCCATCGGCAAGCGTCCTACAGAGGACCAGTTTTGTTACTCAGCTGCCTTGAGGATGAGAGCAGAGATGGCTCTCGAAACGTTGACAGAGGATATGGTTTATTCACCATTCAGCCACCTGATGCTTGTAGCCCGAGAGTCTTTCATTAATTTAATCTTAATTTATTTGTGGTGTATTTGACTGTGTTATGATTCGCTGGGTCATTAGAGAAGCCACCGCATGATAAAAATGAATTAATAATAAATGGGAAACCATATGGAAAAAAGTGGTCGTGGCCAATGTAATGTTCCATCAGAAAAGCTTGTCTCCATCATACGAAGCAGAAATGTTAACCATAGTTTGTAGCTGCCGAATGGATACTTCCAAGTGTGGCTTCCGTCTTGATCAACGAAGTCCTACAAACGAGATGAACTAATGCAAGGTCTGATAACGGAGCAGCTTGAACAAATCTGCAGTCGCACATCGTGACCTTACAATACCTGGCATTGTACATCATTTTAACAAGGATGTACAAACTATCTAACTTATACGAGGTGCATTCAGAAAATTGCTTCTGTCTTGCTGTAAATAATTATAATACAGAATTCATGGTGTCGTACGGTTTGATTATTTTCTGCTTTCGGGCGCAGCTAATTTTTCGCATCTTCCAGTTAAGAGCATTTATTGTTAATTTACTAAATTCCTCTTCATCTAAAACATTCTGCACGCCAAAACACACAGCAATTCTTGAATAATATGATACGTCGCCCTGATGATGGAGGCAGTATGCCCTCTGAAACGTTGGGTAACATCGACCAGACTACACAGCGCAACACACCAGAACACAGAAATCTTCATCGCCCTGATGACGGAGGCAGTATGACCTCTGAAACGTTGGGTAACATCGACCAGACTACACAGCGCAACACACCAGAACACAGAAATCTTCATCGCCCTGATGACGGAGGCAGTATGACCTCTGAAACGTTGGGTAACATCGACCAGACTACACAGCGCAACACACCAGAACACAGAAATCTTCATCGCCCTGATGACGGAGGCAGTATGACCTCTGAAACGTTGGGTAACATCGACCAGACTACACAGCGCAACACACCAGAACACAGAAATCTTCATCGCCCTGATGACGGAGGCAGTATGACCTCTGAAACGTTGGGTAACATCGACCAGACTACACAGCGCAACAACCCAGAAGACAGAAATCATCTTAACACTTATATATCCGCTCCTCTGGGAGGATTCATTCTTTATTTTGTTCGTCCCCATTTCTGGTCTCTGAATACGGACGAAAATAGACTTGTCGACCTGTCAGTTACTGGTTTTATAAGTAGTTAATGTGACCATGTTTTGGCCACCCCTTGCTCTCATAGGCTACGTATGAATCACGGTAAGTCATTCATCGGCCTTGTGGCCATCAAAGTGTTACTGTCACAATTGAGGCACTGTAGTAGGGTGTGTTTCTGGTTGCCGACGCTGCGCTATGAGGGATATCTTACCTGCTTTGATTGCTGTCGATAAATTTACTTTCTAAATCTGTGATGTTAACATTTTAATGTGTGTTTTCGGCGATGTCCTTTATTTCCCCTGATAAAAAGAGTAAACGAACAGATGCCATTTCTAAGGCCGCTCCTGTCTTGGATTTTATAGAGGCACATATTCATATGCACACCTGCATAAGGTTTATAATTGTGGTTATTATTTTCCATTGTCATGGTTTTATTAAAACGCTATGTTTCGGTAACTTTCTCTGTTCCCGTCTTCAGGCACGGAGAACCTGAGAACCTATTCTGAAAGATCCGTTCAAAGAGTTGACCTAAATAAACTGATCCAGTAAAGTGGATGGAGATTAATAAATTATAATTAACTGATTGTAATAAAACCTTCGCCGGAAACATTTAGAAATATTATTATTATTATTAATTTCGCGTTATATCGGTTCGACTACATTCATGAAGAAGGGAAATGCGAAGTCTTAGAGAAACGGCTTGATGTGATGTAAGTTTCAGCAGTAATTAAGTTTTACATTTGCATTGCATCACTAAATGTGCAGTCTTTACGGAATGCCGCTCAAATATATTTCAAGTGCTGTTGAACAATTACTTACGTCATTTTGTTTATTTCGTGTATGTTTCGCTTATGAAGTCTTGTATTCCAAGACCTTTCCGGCCTCCTTATTTGTTTGTCACGTTTCTGTCTGGATATTACGTCTCCTTATTTGTCACGTTTCTGTCTGGATATTACGGCTAATTGTTGTTGTTAGCATTAATTCGCAGGGGTTTTATTGAACGTCAAAGAATGCACCTTACAATAAGTACCAACAAGTTTACATCTATTCCGTAATTGTGTATGAAATGTATTGAAGTTATTCTATATAAAATGACATGTCTTTATTGCAATTCGATATTATCGTTTAGGAATTTGCGGGCTACGGAGCTGATATACTGACTTTTCAAACTAGCTTGTCGTTCATCGTTATTCGGTAGTTCTAGGCGTTTGTTGCTGTTGGTTTTATTCATATTTATTATTATTTTTTATTTGGTGTTCTGTCTGACGACAGGTCCATATGAACAGGATCCTTCCATCCTTTTTTCGGACTGGGACCTGTTCATATACGTTCTTGGCAGATGATCCAGAAGTGGTTTGCCATTGCCTTCTTCTGTGTGTGAATGGGATGCCACGGAGAAACCGGGGAAGCCCCCGGAGGAAAACTCCGTGTTACCTAGACCACGGCCTTGTCCAACACAAGTTATAAATTCTGGCACCGCCGGGAATCGAACCCGAGACCCCAGGATTACAAGCCCAGCGACGTGTGATAAACGATTGATTAGTGAAGCCAAAGGGTAAATAGAATAAATCTTGTGGAAGTTCTCTACTAAAGGAGGCGCTAGGAACGTTATCAACAGCCCTAATCGACTGTAGGTGCTCGACTCCATAAGCAGGCTGTACCCTAGATCAGGGTGGTCCAACTGGCTACCCGCGAAAGTGTTTGTTAATTTGTTACTAGTCATTACAATCCAATTTTTCTCTTTACTCTTGAAGATTTGAAAAAAAGAATTGTGATTCTCATCTCGTCTGCTGCTTTTAAGTACAAATGCCACACCTCGGTACGCGTTATCTGAGGATGTGTTACGATCAACCCTTTGTTTATCACAACAAAAATAGAAGTTGATATTCCGTCACGGGTAAAAGAACATTCTGCTCAGTGCCCTCACTAAAGCCTTTGACTTTAAAAGCATAAGATGTACTTGAATAAAAATTTTCTCGGATATCATCCATCGTCTAGTAAATATAAAACGTAAAACGATGTTTCGGAGATGGGACTCTATCTCCGTCTTCAGGTTCCTACACAGTTGGGCCCACTAGATAGAGCTAATCCCTATCTACGATGGATAATATCCAAGAAAATTTTTATTCAATTGACTCTTCACCATCGTCAAGAAGTTTTAGATTTGACATAAGATGCACCTTCTACTGGTACAAATTGTAATTGTATCAGATGCAAACTGTTAGCAGAGTTAAAATAATTTGTGTAAGTTTACCAGGTAAAAATTTTGAGAGACACAAGCTGTTGCAGGAACAAATTTAACATCATACAACTCTATAGTAGTTTGTGCACATTTAAATACAATTTATATTTCAGCATATGCAATGGTAATTTGTCGTTTCTGAAAAAGTATTATTAAATGCAAAAATAATGACTGTAGGGGTTTCTTGGCCCTTGGGGTCCAACAGGAAAACTGTTCTGTCCCGAGCGAGGAAAAAAGTTGGACCACCCTGCCCTAGATACTACGGCTCTGGTCGCGAGAAAAAACACAAGCTGACACCGCCAATATGTTGACAAGCGACAAGATACTGACAGTGTGTCCACACGCAGACCAAGTGTCTGCTCGCAGACAGATCACTGACACCGCTGTTTGGACCGACAGCTTTCTGTACGACGACACAAGAAGGGTTTACGTTGATGCGAGTTCGCATTCTTCTTTCCTTACGAATTACATATTAATATTGTAAACTGTAAATATATATATATATATACGAGTGCGCGCTGGTTCGAGTTTCGGGGAAAGAAATTTCTCATGAGCTTTCGACCAGTGTATGGGACCGGTGCCAACCCAGCATCGTGAGGAAATTGGGGAGCTACAACGGGTAGCGTAATCCGGTCAGAAAACCTAGCAATGGCTGGGGGTTCGTCGTGCTGACCACACGTCACTCTATATCTGGTTAGATGATCGTTCACCTCTGCTTAGGCATGTGAACGTGAGGCCAGCAGTCAAGCTAGTCGGCTTTGGCTCTCTGGAGCTGTTACGCCACGGATTTTATTTAATTTAATTTAATTGTCCACTCTGTACGTTAGACATTTTATATACAGTCGTCTGATCATAAAAGAATGAACACTTTCGTGGTAATGTCAAAACAGTATCGTGGTCGGTACACATGGTTTATTGTCCGGAGGCTTCATCAGTTGATATTCCTGCCATGATACTGGTTCAGCGGAAGTCGGGTGTTCCTCAAAAGAAGCGTGATTTGATAAGCGGCGGTGTCAGGAGTTTAGAGGCTCACATGCTCTGCGGTGGAGGCGCAGGTCTGTCGTCACACCGTCTCTCTATCTCTCTGTTTGCCCAGCAATGCGTACACACCAGTTTTGTCGTATGTAGAACTATATAATCTTCATGTACCACGTAGCTGCTGAAATGAGTGCGGCATGCGAATACATTTCGAGAGTAGGCCTATACGTGTTCTATTCATGTGCAAAGCAAGAACCGCACGTGAAAACCCAAAGAAAAGGGCTAAAGTATGGTGTGAGGTGTAATGGGAGAATATGAAAAGTTGCATGTAGGATGGACCAGGTCGGGTTAGAGCGCCAGAGAAAAATCTTGACAGTTATCTACCGCGGCACGCTGGACATCGCGTTGTATCACATCCCGTGGTTTATCGTTACTGTATTCGGAAACTTGTGTCGGCGTCGTTCAAAAACACCCTTTTCTAAGGCACCAACTATGACACAAATGACTAGTGCGAATGTCCCTTGCCTCCTGCAATGTAATCTGAACGCGGAAGAATGCTTATGTAGAACCCAGGACAGTTTTTCGGACTTGTGGCCTTCGTTTCTATAATTTACCCTTCGAGACAAACAACTTTTATCTTGGCGTCGTTATTCTATTATGCGTAGTTTCCGAGGTACAAGAAACGCCCTGCTGGTGAATCGAACTCAGGAAACATTTGCCGAAGTTTTGACTCTGTTATGTTTTCTTCCTGGTCTCAGTGAATAACGATGTCACGTTTGTTGTGAATCATTGTTTCATTGTAGATTTATTCGACATCCATCACATTAGTCCCTGAGATGTTTGATTTCTTTTATTCCATATTGAGTTTATTGCATTTTTCGTGGTTGTTGTAAAACAGATCAATTTCGCTAATTTTGTAATGGGATTTGATGTAGAGGGGTTTGAACTTTGAAAATAAATATGTATATATTTGTCTCTGAAAATGCTAAGAAATAATTCATAAGGTCAGAGAAGTAGGACTTGTACTGGCTTGAATCTTACATGTCTGCGTGTACTGACAGGGGCAGACCCGAACTTGAGGGACTGGAGTGGCCGGAAACCACGACAGTATCAAGCCAGCCAGGACACATCGGTTTCTGCAGACACATTCAGGAGTGAGTATCTCAGTAGCATGATGTCAAAAATAAAACTTCCTACTAACCCTCAATCACCTGCTAACGACATTTACCCCGAGATCCAGAAGCCCAGGCATGTGCGTCATAGCTTCCTTCACAAGAGTTTTCGATTTAAGTCCGAGAGCAGAAAGCGTCCGCAGACTATCCCAGCTAATTTGCATACGTGAATGTATAAACAATTATGGATGCAACTTCATGGTGATGTGGAGAGACGTAATGGTGTAATAGGGGTTTTTGAAAGGGAATTCTGAATTTACATGCTTTTTGTTGGATTAGCACTTAATTAATGTCTTTTATACTAAGCAAGACGTAGTACCTAGCAGCTCATTATATTAGAAACATTTTCATAAAATAAAAACGAAAACTGACATATCTTAAGAAACTAGCAAAAGGATACTTCCAATTTCTTTTAAATGGCTGTTTAGCCTGACTGATTCTTGTATCTGTGTTTGAATAACGTCTTCAAGGTCGTGTTTGATTACATAAATAATCTTAGTATTTAATTATTACTAAAGAATTACTTTTGGTAACAGATTGAAAGCAACTGCAGTGTGAAACTAAAATGTGCCAATCTTTTTTTCAAGGAGCTTTGTGATCTAAACAAAACTAATTTTGAGTAACTTTCTTCATTATTAACATGTAAAGTTTGCCTGTTAACTATATAGATGGCCAAAGATCAGTGGTTGTAATTAATGTGTTAATTGTTGTTATTCTAAAAATTAGCATGTTGTTGATAAGACTTTCTTTGAGCATGTACATAAAAAGTGGTTCTTGAGCAGTCTTTTAAATTTTTTTGTGGCTGCATTAATTAAGTGATTTTGGAAAAATGAAGTTCTATTAACATGGATCCAGTTTGGAAAGATTGAGGTATCATGAATGATGGTAGTCTGAAAATAAGATGAAGATGTACCAAAACATAATGGGTTGTAATGAGATATCACAATAACTTCTACTTGAAACAAAAATAAAGTGGGTTCTGATGACGGTGTATTACAATTTGGGTTACTAAATGTTCGGACTTTGTCAGTTGTCTGGTATTCTAAAACACACACAACCTTTCAGAAATCTGGTGTTTTTTCATCTACTTTCTTACAGCTGTTAAAAAAAATCCAGTTTTTGGAACGTTCTGTATTTTAGGATACCAGACAATGGACAAAATCCCAAAAATTCAGTAACCCCCCCAAAATAAAGTTCTTTAATAATGTATAATAATTTTATTTTATAGAAAGTTGCATGTTTCTTTGGTTGCATGATGCATGATGCATGAGTTTTTCTTTGAAGCTTTATTGACAGTGTATACCATGACAACTGCAACTGCGCAGAAGCTTTTATATGGAGTACAGTGTGAGTGGCGTTACAGTAACTGAACAAATATTCATCTGGTGATATAAGAAGAACAAAAAGTCTTTCATTAGTGTGAGAAATCTTGACGTTGTCATTGAGCGGTTAGCACTCCTGCTTTGTAGTCAGGATTTAACGAGTGATTCTTGACCCAGAAGCCGTCCGTTGACTGGGGGGTTTCTTGTGGCATTTACACAGTCATTCCAGGCGAATGCTGTGATGGCAACTTAAAATGGACCATTATATCATTCAGTTTTTCTTTAATTCAGTATTATGTAACCTATGCCATTAAAAAATATATTTCAAATATGTTTATTAAAGCAGGAACATTATTATGAAACTCAGATACACAGATCTTGTCATAAATTTAAAGTTTACTAAAGAAGTTCGCAACCATCCAATAATATTCTGGATAGCTCTTTAACACATATGTTTTATTGCTTTCCAAATGCTGCTCCATTTTGAATAGTCTTGCGTCTCTGCAGTCTTAAAATTCGAAGAAATAACTAAAACTATCATTTTTGATTTCTCATGTTCAGAAATGTGAATTTCAGATTCAGTCCAGAATTGGGAAACTTACTTTTTAGTCCAGTGTCAGATTGAGTCAGCAGCTTTGAAATTCAGACAAAATACAAGTATCTTGGACCTTGTGAGTGTCACACGTAAACATACATATCTTAAAGGCCTAATATTGTTTCCGAACTGCCTGAATTCTGTGCATTGAATGTAGGAGTGTATATGAATGATGCATTGGAAAGGATTTGATCATGACCTAGTTGAAGATAATATCCCCATATTCACCTGGAAGGACTGAGGAAAACCATTCAAAATATAATATTACTGTTCGGAAAATGGGATATGAGGGTCTGGACTAGATTAATCTGGGCTAAGAAACTTCTTGAGCAACTGAATGATTTTCAGTCTCTCAAAAATGACCTTGCTCCATGAAGACGCTTAGTTAACATATCCGATCCTTTCTTTGTTTTAAGTTATTATAGAGTTTCATACAAATATTTAATGACAGTAACATTACAGGTGATGGTTATATATTATGGAATGTGTAATTGTTTTATTGCACTGCTCAAGCTTTGTAGTGTAGTATCACTTGGTCATAAAGGGCAGTTTTCGTTGAATGGGAGAAAATTTTTAAAGTGCTTCAGAAGGACTGACCATTGCAAGTGGCATGGTATACTACATCGACTTTAACTGTTCATCCAAGGAATCACGATGATTGAGAACAAAGTGAAAGTGACAGAAGAAATATATACATGATGTCACCACATACGGTATTCCCTAATATTTTTGATATTTGCATGTCTGTACTCATAACAAGACAGTTGGACAGAATTATCATATGCTCCACATTGGCAACAAATATGGAATGATCATTAATGTTGCCTAATTTACAATACACTTTTGAATTTGATGAGTAGTTCATTAACTTCAGGTTTTGGCACATTTTTATATAAATATGTCACAAAGTATGGAAATTTTATAAACTAATTTGAAGTTGTTCTCACTATGTATCTCACTGTAAGCAAATTCTACTGATGCTTAATGGTCAGTCTTTGTGAAGCCAAATTGTATGTAATTACAGCTTAGCATCTGAATTTCTGTCTCTTTTTGTAGGACTTGTAGCAGCTGGTACACTAAGGCAAGTAAAACGGTACCGTAGGAAGACAGGGTTGTCTAAGTACTTGAGTCTTGGCAGTCTGTAATGCTTGTTTAAATAGTATCTTTTTGATATTAGAGGCTATGTTTTCAGGTGTTTTCCTGCATTGTGCTTATTATTTCACATATAAACCAGTATATCAACTGAATAGTCCAATTCCAATATCATTCTTAAGTTATGAACAATTGTATTTATCAGTTGTCATCATTTTATGAATTTTAATAATTTGAAGCAGTTTATAACTGTTACTTTTCTGGTCCTTTTCAATGAACTAATGAAACTCTGGAGGTTCAACACCACTAATATCAGAATTTAACATTGCACCAAGTTCTGAGCCAGTTTCGTCCACATGCCATGCAAAAATCTATTTTTATAAGGACTCAGAATACTATCATCCTTTCTACTTCCCATTCTTCCAGTGGCCAATTTCACAGGGCTTCCCCCATAAAAATCCTTCATGTATTTTTCATATTACCTGATGTTTTCCATGGTTTTCAGTCTCCTCAGGCTGCCAAAATACTTTAGAATGGACTATGGCTGCCTCCTTCCAAATTCATACATGATCAATGTTCATGATTACCTTCCTGTGTTTTTCAACACTTTGTAACTTCCACAACTGAAATTGTACAGTGGTAAAATCAATCTTTCCAGTTACCTTACATAATCATCTTCTTTTACATAATTTTTGCAATTAATATATATGTGTTGTTAAATAATCTAACATGAATAAATACTTTAATTAATATTGTATTAATTATATACATTAATATGCAATTCACATAATATTTTATGCAATTTTACAATTCCTGATTTGAGAAAAGTTAAAGATTTTGGCCATACAGGACATTAAGTATTTTTACTAATATCCGCATATTATCCAACATTTGTCTGTGGTGTCCAAAGCTAAACTTAAATTTACCATTGGTGTCTACAACAGAGAGAAATTTTTACAAGCACTCATAAGCATCTGGTTAATATTGGTTCCATGTGAGTATAGTGTCTTTATATGGTAGAGACAAGACGCTGAAGAAAATACTTTCATATGAATGTCTGTAGTAGACATTCTTTTAATAGACTTGAATAAATTATGGCCTTTTTATGTTTTTGGGCAATAAATGTTGGAACTGGACACTTCAGTTGTTTTAGTCAAAATGTGACCCAGTTCATAATCAACTGGGAATATGTAAGCAGTTTCTGCCTTATTACTTAACCATAACCACAAATACTTACATGTCAGTATTATTAATAATGTTATTGTTAATGTGTTTTTTGCCATATGGTTTTGAACAGCCTACTGTAACAAAGTTGAAATAAATTGCATTTTTATATATGCTTATAAATGTGTAAGTTTGAATTATCACATTAGCTGTAATTACAGATGGACTTTCATTTGGTTTTCCCATTGCTTTTACTCAACTAATTTGACTCCCTACTAAATGAATAAATGTTTTTCTTTGTGAATGGACTCCATAAACTATTGATACAGACCTATATTCTAAGTCGCCATATTGCAATTAAGAAAGCTGAAGTCTTATGTAGACATTTCTCAAACTATGCATCATGATTGTTATGGTGTAGTATGAGTTAAAATTAGGACACTATACATTTTGTTAGCCTAACACAGTACACCATAGAAAACTTAAATGTTCCATGTGAAACTTAATGTTCTAAATCTTCATGGGAATATGATTTTTATCAGTCTGTTAAAGTGCTTGTACAAAATTGGTACATAATATGCCATTAAGAGCTACATATTTCCACTGTTATGCTTATTTAACAAAATAAAAAATGAAGTCATTGCCACATTTGTAGTGTGACCTTCACAACATTAGATTTTTATCTGCAGAATTAATATCAAGTCCAGTAAATATGAAAAATTATAAATAATGTGTTTATAAAACATTCTTTCACTTGGTTGATATTATCCTGATTCACATGCTCCATCATTTCTGTAGTTAATGGTTTCTCATTTAATCTAATATAAAACCCTTGCTCAGCGGGAGTTCAGCTTTCAGGGATAAGCTACATTGATATTTTTTTAAGGTTTTCGAACATTTGGAAAATAATGCAGTTGCCATCTTCAAGGTACATGTCTGTGGGAGAATTAGAAAGGTCTTACAAAGATCTGGTAATGTGCGTTGTGGCGGGCGATTGGTATGATTGAGTGAGCAGAGAAACCAGTGATATCCACTGCGGAGAGAGACAGTGTGGTTGAATACTTCTTATTCTAAACAGCATGGTTACACCCCATTCCTCTGCTCACCCAATCACATCATTAACCTTCAACTTAACTCCCACTGTCAGATCCACTCTGCAGACATTCACCCCAAAAATGGTAGCTGGGTAGCTGCAGTTTGTGAAAACATTGGAAAACCTCCAACAAACATTGTGGTTTATTCCCAGAAGATGATGTAATATTTGTACTTGTTTATATTAAAGTTCATTATTTTCAGTAGAGGTACTAATATGTAAGTGAGCCTTGCCTGCCACCTGTAGTTTCTTGCTGAAAGTACAACCACTATAATCAGTGTAGGATGCATGTTGTGTGGTAGATGTTTCTGCATGCTTGGAAAAGGCAGATGCATGGAACTTTGAGGTAAGATTACATTTTAGTTATCTTGCAAAATATTATTAAGACCCTTGCAAATTTAGAATAACAGGAAATTTTGGAATTATAACATATGTCCTATGTTATTTTGGTTAAAGTGTCAATTGAACTGTCAATTTAATCCAAATTTCCATTATTCCACGAAAACTCCTTAACTCAAGGTCAGGGGTAGACAAGGTGCAGACCATTGTACTCTTCATATATAATTAATAATATGGTCCTTCATAAGTTGTTACTTTCTCATACACAGTATACTGTGATTTTTATTGAAATGCAAGTTCTGGAGTTCTTGTACCTATATTAACTACTTTGGTTAAATGTAACGTCAACTGTGTATGAGAAATTTGAGTGGTGCCCGCTTCATATACACTTTACTCTGTGTCATAAAATGTTGAGAACACCAATCAGATTTTGGAATATCATATTGAATTTAGTTATTGACAGGTATGTCTTTTGGTATGTCCATGAACTGTATTCAGTCAGTTTGAATAATTGATAAAATTTTCTAAATTAAAGATTTCTGTCTTCTGGGTTGCGCTGTGTAGTCTGGTAGATGTTTACCAACATTTCAGAGGTCATACTGCCTCCATCATCATCGCCGTGATGACGGAGGCAGTATGACCTCTGAAACGTTGGTTAACATCGACAGACTACACAGCGCAACAACCCAGAAGACAGAAATCTTCATACTCACCGCTGTGAAAACCTCAAATCTTACATTTTCTAAATTACATAATTATTCTTCAGCAGCCTTATAGCTCACCTTCACTTTGAAATAGTCCCAGTAAACCCCCAAGTAAAAATATTGTCCAGTCCTAATGTTAGACCACTAAGACCCTCTCTTGATGACTTGGCAATGCTATTTGATCAAAATGAGATCAGTGGTTAACTGTGGCTTGGGAATTGCCTAGGAGTATTATAGTAAAGTATACTGCCATTTAGCCAGTGGGTTAGAAGCAAGGCATTTGCATGGAAAGTGCATGACCCAGGTCCAATCCCTGGTGTGGCTATGAAACATTTTTGGAACAGTATATTATATTTGGTAGATTGTAGAAAATGTTGTGGTTTATCATGTGAGAATTATGTTGAATATTGTCATTTGTACCAGCTATGTTTCGTGTACACATTGCTTCTATAATTGGATCTACTTCTATCTGCAGCTGATTTATGATCATTCTTCTGAGAGAGTGTTTTTGCACTTTTCAAGTGCCCCAAATAAATAACTTTCATTATTATTTCAATGACAGACATTTAACCAGTTGCCCCTTGAATACTGGACACATTAACTAGTTGTTAAAACATTAGACTTGTTCCATGTTGCTGGTTGTAAACAAAATAAAAACCATCTGTCACCATAATATCCAACATAATTGTCATAATGAAACAATCAGTGGGATCAGAACAGGCCAATGGGCCTAAATGTTGTAGATGCGATTGTGTAGTGGTTGGGCATTTTTTGGAACTCTATGTAGGACAGGCAGTAGTTTGATAGTTGCATTGATGGTACTGACTGTTACATACATCTTTATTACATTCCATGGATCCATAAGTTAGTCAGATGACAATAGGATGTAGAATAAGTCATAATAATACAATACATGCTATACAAATACAAGTCATACTATTATATAAATGTCACAAAATACAAACAAAGGGTTCACATAAAGTAGAGATAAGTTACAAATAAATCCACCCATTATCTACAATAGATAAATTACGACTTACTTGTAAACATTAGAAATTCATCGACAGAGTAAAAGGAGTGTGTAATTAAGTATCTATTTAATGCTAGTTTAAATTGTGCCTTTTTATTTACAAGACTTGTGAGGTTTGATGGTAGACTGTTGAAAATTTTGATCCCTGCATAATATGCACTCTTCTGAAAACATGAGAGGTTGGCAATTGGAGCAGAAGAGGGGGCTGCTTTTCAGCCCTCCTACTAATCACTTTTGAACCAATGAAAGAATTTTCGTGCTATTACAGGCCACATATTTGTAATTTCATTTTCTACCATAAGTAATACCAGAATATTTCTCTGTTTGCTAAATGTGATCCTGTTAGTTCTGCTTGTAAATGACCATTTTTTCAGCTATGGGAAATGTGTTTAATTGTTCTGTTATGTTATCATTATGAATTTAGTTTCATCTTTTATATCCTGCTGTAGGTCCAAATAATTTAATTTTTATCGCTTCCATTCATTTTTGGTGGTTTATGGTTGCAGTCCAGCATTTAAACCCACAAAGGAACTTGGATAGTAATCAGTTTATAAAATTTTAAAATAATCTCTATTCTGGTTTTCCTCAACTTCTGACAATTTGCAAGCTTCACATCTAGGTCATTTGAATAATTAAATACACTATTATGGCAAAGGTATTAAATTATTTACCTGTAAAACTATTATAATATGTTACTCCTGGAAATTATACACAGAAGTGGATCACTTGCAGTAATTGCCAGTTATTAATTCATAGCTCTTGCTAGCATCAGCATATGGAATGAAACATTTTAAGGAAAGTAGGTGTCATAAGTTCTTCCCACACCTTTATGTTACTTTATATCATTGCTATGTAGAAGCGTGAAAATTGGAAGTTTCATCAACTTTTTGAGCAGCAGTCTTCTTGTGTACTTTACTTAGTGTAGTGAATTTTCAGGTTATCTCAACAGTTGGTGTAGTTGTGATTTGTTGGATCATCAGTTTGTTCATTACTCAGCAATAATGCAGCACTTCACCTACATATCTGAAGATGGGAAACAGCTGGAACTGGTAGTGAAATGGTGTAAAATAAACTTTTGTGAATTCAAATAGTCTCATCTAACTTCTTTTCGTCTTCAAAAATATTTCACCATTGAAATATTAATGTTTTAAACTTCATATAAATTAAATACAGTCACAAAGATATATGCTGCTTTAGAGTGTTATAACTGTTGTGATTTTAAGATATTTCAGAATGATTTAAGGCCATAGATTGGTTGTGATATTCATACAAACTTTAATTTTTCTTTAATTATATTTATTTATAAGTATTATGATCATAATGTTACTTCACTTATTTGGTTGTATTAAGACATACTTATAATTGCCAATTTTTGTTTTTGTTTTCAGAAATCAAAGCAAGGAAAAAGCATGCAGGTAGAGTGACTTTAACACTGTACTTTATTAAAATGACTTTGTTTTATATAGATACAGTAGACTCTCAATTATCCAGGGGCAAATTAACTGGGTTGCAGATCAACCGGGGTCCATATGGTTTAAACAAAAATTGAAAATTAATTTATAAAATCTGTTGTAAAGATGAGAACATTTAAAAATCAAGGAATGAATACAACGATGACATATTGTTCAATGTATTAACATAAGTCAATTGTTGCTAAAACCTGAAGTTTATGACAATAGAACATTATTACTGTCCGTTGGAATCCTTCTTTAAAAAAATAGTTGGTTTGTATTGCATAAAATTGTATGTAAAATTCTTTCTGTTATTAGCAAATCTTTAATAATTTATGTAGAGTATGTCTGTGAAGAGACTTACGTATTTGTTACATTTGCATGCTTTTTTTTTTAAATTTTTATGGATTATCTGGGATTTTGATTATCCAGGAAAATATATTTCCCAACCAACCTGGTAATCAGGTGTCTACTGTAAAAATAAAATATTCCATGTCAGGATTTAACTGAAATAATACGGTATGAAAAGTAACGGATATCCACCATCCATACCTTTTGTTTATGTTTTTTTATGCAGCCATAGTTATTGAGATTATGAAATAATCTGAAGGTAAACAAAGGTTCCTGTTTAGTGATTGTTGTCTTTGGTAAGAAGTGCAGAGTATGAACACTAAAATGTACACAGACCAAAGATTATTACCAACTCTATTCATTTATTTTGTTTCCTGTATTGTATATGATTCTTTGACAAGCCAAGTATACAATTAACTAACTAACTAACTAACTTACTAGATGGCTTATGGAACCCAAAGGTTCATTCACCAAATTAACCAAAGCCCTCCACCAGTTCCTGTCCTGGACCAACAAAATCCATAGAATCAACTCTTCTGCATTACAGAGTGAGTGAGTGAATATTGCATATGAGATAACAATAGACATATGCCATATTTACAGTCTCAGAGCAGATCCCATAAAATACTCCTAAAAGTTTCTTACATTGTTACTTGTTGATCCTCTTTTGTTGCAGTTCTGGGAGTTTGGCTTTGAGGTCTGTGTGGATCACTTACATAGATCAGAAGTGGACAGAATGCTGCCCTTGAAATTATTAAAATAGATACACAGTAATTGTTATATAATTACTTTTACAGCCCTTTATCAATTTTTACATTCTCATACATAGTACTATATAGAGGAATATTGAAATGACAAAATTTGATTGTTAATAATAATTTCTGTAATTTGGTCATGACATCTAAACTCTGGTGTGTATTCTGAAAGTGTTAAGACATACATAAACTTTTATCATGTCAGAAAAGGTAATTTAACCCCTCTACTATGAGGCTGGATTGAAACTTTGTGGTCAACAATTTAGCTGGTTGCCTCAGTTGTATCCTGCACAAAGATAATACAGGTTAAACTGAGTCTGCTATAGCATCCATTTGACTTTATGTCCAGTCATAGGTATACTGACTAACTGCTTGGAGCAGAATCATTTTTCATAAGCTGATAATCGCTTATCTGGTCATGAAATTTCTGACTTTAATATAACTTAGTTTCAGTACTGTGTTCATATGGGTCCTCCCATTGCAAATGAACATTATCCTCTGGCAGTTGAATCTAGTCTACAACCTCACATTCCATTTCCTATAGATATATTTGAATATTGTCCTCCATCTGTAGGCGTAATGAATGAAAATATTAAATTTATGAGCTACATCCCCAGAACTTGCATTTATGAAAATTGCAATATTTTCCCAGCACTGTATATGGGACTAGATATATTGATTAGGAGCCTTATTGTAGATGTCTGCACATTGATGCAGGCCAGATTGGATTTGTTTGCTGGTTACTTCCAACCCATGGGCCTATTTATGAAATCCTGATTAATAGCAAGAAAAGATTTATTTACTTTCTGTTGTAGTTTTATAAAGTTGTTTATAATTGCTGTTTATTCTTGCTGCAGAAAAGGACTTAGGCTTCTTGAGAATTGGCTCCTTGAATGTGAGAGTGAAGAGGACAACTGAGGCATTCAGCAACTTTCTGGGTGTTGGGCAAAGCAGTGAGAAAATACACAAAACGTGGGGCTCTGCTGACAACATTCAGCAGGTAATAACACATTTGATAATGCACTGAAAAGATAATCTTGTTTTTTGTTCTAAACATATGTGAAAGTGTTTTAATGATGATTTCTATCATCATAGGCATACTTTCTTTGGACATGGTCTGTTGTTCACATAAGAATAATAAGCATATTTTGATTGTACTGTCCAGAATTGTTATACATCTTGCAATTGTCTTATACAGTTTTGAGTCGGCTCTTTATATGCTATACTGTTTCAGGTTGACAGGTACGTGATGCCCCCTCCAAAATATGCTCCTATTAAAAAGAGAAGATCAAAGCGAGCACAAGACTTTGTCATAAGTCACAGCTCCCCAAGCACACCACCTAGTGAACCTAGAACTAGTTCTGGAGAAGCAGTAGGAGACTCAGACTCTGACACAGCTTGTGGTTTTGGTTCAAACTGGCAGAGCACTGTCTGAATGCACATCAGTTTCTTGTTGAAGTGCCACTTCATGGTTTTTAACATGAATCAACACTTTATCATTGGTGGTAAATGTAGTTTGTATTTAGCTCATAAATTATTCGAGTTCGTCCCTCATGCTGAATGTTTGCTGACAGGCATCATGAAATTTAATTTACCCATTAGAATACAATGCAAACATTTCCCTCCAAGTACTTCATAAAAGTTGATAATACTTTGAATAAATAATGATGTTTAACATTAATCATTATCATAATCAAATCATAATTTGATCATAACTATCAAGGATCATCATAATTATCATCACCTGAAAATACTCTTCATTGTCAGATCATTATGATCATTATTAAATAATAATCAGCATTCAGTAATCATTAAAATCATCCAGCAGATTTAATTTCAAATAGTTCAGCTGGCCACAATAGATGGCAGCACAAATAATTCATGTGGCCACTGAAATATAGCTGCGTGTTCTCTTCAGCTGAAAGATGTGACAGACAGTTGGACAGAACAAGCCCATAAGGTGTTTCTCGGTTATGTTAAGGAACACCAAAAAAGGCAGAACCTCCCACAGCCTGGCAACAACAGTAACAAGAAGAAGAAGAAGAATCTTTTGGAATAGTAAATGAGTCATAAATGTGAATGAGAGGTAGTGGTGAAAAATTTTCTTTTGCCAATTTTCTGTGCGGTTGATCAAACAGCAAATTAATGTGGTGTTTTTGTGGCAATGGTGGAAAGAGAAAGACAGAATAACTTGTTGCTTAACTGACTGTTTTCCTACTGTCCCACTAAGAGACATCACTCCAGTTACAGGCAAGTTGAAATGTTATGTTACAAGTGTCATTGAGAATTAAAGGCATTGCCCATGTCCAGTTCACTCTTGAACTGAGGTATAATACTGAGCAAAGGTCTTATATTATATGATATATGTTACAGAAACAATTTTCTGTGGTTTATTTTAAAAATACCCACATCTTATAGTGACACATAACATAATTATGTACAAAATACATTTTTATAAAACATGCCTGCTTGGTACTGGATAAAAATAAAAATTACAACCTACATTTCCTGTCTAGAGGGAATTGGATGGTAGTAGAGTTAGACTAAAAGTTAGTCCTAAAGTAATTGCTTCGATTATCCCTTCATTGTGCTGTATATTCTGGTGTGCAATCTGTGCTTGCAGAATGAGAGGTCTTGTGATCTCTGATAAAACAGTACATTTCAAAGACTATGATAGATGAATTCTGGAACTTTATTGAATGAAGTGACTGAAAGTCGTGGCTACTTTATGCAGGACAGTACCATAGTCCACATTGTAAATAACTTTGTGATGGTACTGCTGAAATGTTTGGGGAATGGATGATGTATTGGGAATTGTGGCTCATGTAATAACCACATTTTTTATGTATTTAGCACTGAAGTGAAAAATGTGTGTTGTTGTCAGTCCTCATTAATTGAAAGAACTGAAAGACAACTTTCAAAGTGAAGGTTCTGCTGTTTTAATACAACAGCATTGTTAAATGAATAAAAGCATATTTTAAGTAACCAAAGATTATTTGGAAGTAAAATGTATGAATACAGAACTGCTCCTTGATGTAATGTAAGTTACATTGTGTGGCATAAAGTGAGCAGCAATATATTAACAAAATATGAAATGTGAAATTGTCTGTTTACTACATGGAGCTCAAATAACAGATAAGCTGGAACTGTCTTCTAAATGTAGGTTGACTGGTGGCAGGCTCTTGTGAACTCAGTAATGAACTGTTACATAAAATGCAGGGGATTTCTTGATTAGCTAAACATACTACTAGCTTCACAAAAATGATGCTGCTCCCTGAAGTAAGTAAGTTGGTTAATCTTATGATTTGGGTTAGTTTTTAGATGGCATAAGCACTATTCTACCATTAAGTTCAGAAACCTTTGTGTTTACATAAAAAATAAGAAATACTAAATTGATTTTATCTTTTGCTTTCCCTATCAGATATTGCAATGTGTTTGTTCTACAAAAAATATACAATACCATACTTAACATTTTCATTTTTCAATTTTGCGCTTAATATAAATAGTATTATAATTCTGTAATATTAATAATTTCAGTATTACTTAATTTATAAACTTCATATTTTAATTGTATTTTAATTCAGCTTCATTAAAGTTGTCCAGTCACCCTGGAATGTTTTGTACTAAAAATTGTAATAAAAGTGTAAATTCGAAAACAGTAACTAGTGATATGTCTGTCATATAAGCCAGAGGTATTATGACTATACAACAAAATAATGCTAGGTCATTTTTTTTAACCTGTTTCTCATTAATAATAACCTCATAACTTTGCCACATTCTTCAGAGTTGCTATTCCCTTTGGATCCCCTTCTGTGTTAAATGTATAACCTATTTTAATACTTTCAGGTGAATTATAAAAGTTGCAGACATGAAGTGTGTAAGAATAGATAAAATTTGGGGTAAGTCTGCTACCATTCAGTTCAGAAGTTATCTTCCATCTTCTCTCAAAAGATGTAAAGATTAAAATATATACAGTTAGAATTATATCTTCATATTAAGTGTGTTGAACTTGGTCTCTCACCTGAAAAGAAAAGATTGGTTAAGAATGGGTGTTGGAAACTATTTGAGTGCAAGAAAGATGAGCAGGACTAAACATGTATTACATTGGTGGGGATGAAGTTAAATTGGTTCAGGATAGGGTCCAGTAGCCAGTTCTTGTGATTATGCTATTGAACTCTAGCTTTGATAAAAGATTATTGTGGGGATTTTTGATCATTTGAGTGGCAATCAGCATCTTAAGCATTACATAGGTCAGTGGAGTCAGTTATATAATCCTGGAAGAAGACTCAATTAAACTCGCTGTTGAATTGTTGGTTAATGTGGGGGCGGAATTGATATCCTTTTTGAAAATATTTGTATATTTCTTACATTAAATAAAGCAGAGTGTATTTTTTAAATTAATCTTTAGAACCCCTGATACATATTTATTATATATCTGTTTATGGGTGTATCATTGTATGTAAAATTGCTAAGGATACATGGAATATAAATAAATTTTATTCGATTCAATTCTGCCGGATGTCTTGCTTGCTATATGTTGGCATGGGCGTCTACCATATGTTGTACTAACCTTTCCATCAACCATGACTTTTGCTGTATGAGGTTGAAAGTTGCCGGAAGGTCGCAACTTAGATTTAATTCATCTGTGTTTCATCATCTGTAGTTATCCTGAGGTTGTCAGTCTGTCTAGCTGTTGGCATGGGCTGCCAATTCCATCAACCATGACTCTAGCCCTAGGGTGGGGTTGGAAGTTAAATTTCGATAGATCGGTTCCTGACAATGATACACGACTTCTGCATTTGGTATTATGCGTCTGCACGATGTAAGTTGGTATTACCCAAGTAGGTAGTTAGTATGGTATTTGTGTATAGCATACAGCAAGAGGTTATGTATGTATGGTACGGAATGGTGATGTGAATTCTGTCGTTTAAGCGCTTTCGCTTAATGCTTGGGGGGCATAGTTTTTTTCTTCATGGAATTTGTACATACTGAGGAGATTGTGACATGGCAGACCACATACTATTCTTGTGGACACATAGGAATATAACTGTATTGGTAAGAATTGTACTATTGTAATAAATGTATGCATAAGAATTTAATAAACACATTCGTAATCGTAGTGTGCTCCTTCAGTTTTTAAAATTAATCCATATTTTTGAGCAGCATACACCAGCTTGTAAGCAGTTTTGGCTCTTAATCCTAATGTACCCCAACGCAATTTTGACAATATTTTAATTTAGTTCTAGGTATGTGAGTCTTCCATTAATATGCTTTGTTTTGGTTACTACGTAAGTTTAGTACGAACGTAAGTTTCATTTGTGTAAGTAGTAGTTTTGAGTGCACGTTTATTCACTTGGTTTAAACCTAGAACTGTGTTGCTGGTAATCCTATGACATATCAACCACTGAGATTATTTAATGTTAATGCATAGAGGCTGGTAATGGTATTCAGGGCTGTAACATCTTGTATTCTTGTAGGTGGTTTCAGAGGAAAGTATTACCTCAGTCTTTAGCATGGACAGGGCTACATGGCTTCACAACCAAGATGACCACAATCAACATTTTCACTACTATCTCAAGCATAGAACAGGACAAAATGCATGATTCCTTTTTGTTTGTTTTCTAACCTAGTGTTATTAATTTAAAACCATGAAATTAATTTAATTTCAATAGATTTTATGTAATAGCCTGTGGCAGATGTTCGTTTGACAGATTTGTGGACAATATTGCTAATATTGTAACAGAAATTGACAATGTAGAACAAGTGCTTTCTTGGGGATGGAACTGAGCTATCTGTAAAGAGAGGTGTCACTGTTTTTATCAGTTTTACAGAAATGTAAAAGTGTAGAATTTAGAATTTAGAATTTTTAATATTTATATATTTTTATAGAGCCATAATAGTTCATTCAGTAAGGCAGATCATTTTTCTCTTTGCCACTTTGTCAATATTGGCTTAGTGGTCACCCAGCCTCCTGTGCAGTGGAAACAAGGTGGCTTTCCCTAGGAGTAAAGTGGTAAGGTAATGTAAGCATACCACTCATCTCCATTTAGTGCCAAGTTTAAGAATGCATATAACTTTACTTCACCTTTCTCTGTTTGCTTCCATGATGGAGTACTTTGGCTTTATACATATACATTTTTATATACATATGCATAAAAAAGGTAATCTCTTTTAACTGTCATATGTGGCATATCTTTTCACAGATGGTGATCATGAATTATGTGCAGTTCATACATACTGTCACTGACATTTAATGTCATGGGAGTCACTTTTGCAGTGGAGGGTGCACGTGAAGGATTTGTCCTTCTGCCTTATCTGATAGACCATTACCTTACATACCATTATGTGTATTTTTAAGGCAATAAGAACATTTTAAAGAGTGATTTATCAGTGACTTAGATTATTTTAAAAGTGGTATATTACATGATCATATTGAAGGCATTGAATCATTGTGTTGGTTGGTATAGTGGTCCACTAGACTTGTGTTTGGTATCTGGTTTGAATCTCTACTACAGTACTGAATGACCTGATTGAGGCTTATGTGGTTTTCCTCCATATCTTCAGGCAGTAGTTAGGATGGTATCTGTAATAGAGCATTATTAAGTAACCTATAAATCATCCTGAGAGATTGTTTTGTTCTAACTAAGTCTGCTTCTTTTCAGAGGATACTTCTCTTTGACCAACACAAGTTCTTGAAGACATGGAGAAAGAAGTGACCAATAAGGGGCATGTTATACATCTTGAATTCACTGGAGCAGTTATCTGCCATAACATGATGACTTGGAGGGTATTTTCAAGACTTGGGTTCCATATCAATTAAGGGAGAATGGAGGAGGAAATTAACTCATTGGAACATGGAGTGTGTTTCAATGTTCCTCCTATGAGGGGAGAAGGACAAGATGAATTTGCATTGCAAGATTATGGAGGTTGTCTTAAAGACCTAGGAGGGAGCAGGTCAGTTTGGTGAAATTCTTAAATTGTTTAACAAAACACTTCTCAATGCATTTTTTATTGGAGGGACCTGGTCAAGAAAACTACTGTCAGAACACCTCTAATTCCATTCTCACAAAACATACACATACAATTCTTTATGGCAAAAGAGTAATGTTGGTATGACACACCAAGTGAATAGAACATAGTAACATGAAACAATGAAACATCCCCATCACCACTGGATGTAGTAAAATGTAATGTAAACAGGAGCATAATTTGTCAGATAATGTCACAGTGTAGTAATTTTAAATGTGATAAAGAAGGGCTAGGTGTAAAAAGGTATTAATATCAATTTATGCAAGGATGGGAAATTCATGGAGACCTGCTGACTCTGGCAAGGAAAAATTTCATGCTGATGTCTACATTATCTTAAAATTAACTGCCTCATACCCCATATGATAAATTTCTTTGCATGTCAAGAATTGCATACTACATTTTTACATGCATGGTTTTGTGCTAGCAGCTCATCAACATCAGTATCAAATTTGAAGTATTGACATTTGTGCTCCTCCACTTGCATCCATTATTTTTGAATTCAATAATGACTTTCCATAATGCTTGTAGACATTGTCAATCAGAAATGTCCATTTATCCTCCAGTATGCATATCATCTTTGTAGATGAACATCATGTAGTATTGAATAACACTTGTACCTATAAAATAGATAATCAGTTTCAGTCTTGGATTAGGGTATTAGCTGCCTTCCTCAAGTTTATGCATAGTTTTTTCCTCCTCTGGAAGAATGCATGGATAATTTCACTTCTACTCTTCTCTCATCTTTGCTGATATATGTTTGACTATTCTCATGCTTCATACAATACCTTTTTAGTTGAAAAATTGTCATTTAGTCTGTAACATGCATTACACTCTAATATGATTGAAAATTTTAACTTCATTGAATAACTTTCCCACAAATGTGATTTTTAGTATTGTCTTGTTTCAGTTTGAACTTGGTTTCCAGTCAGCAAAGTGTTACAAACTTGGCTGCTGTTCAGCAAAGTGGTATGAATATGGTTTCTGCTCAGCCAAGTGGTTTCAGTATGGTTTCTGGTCAGCAGAGTGAATTATCCTTTGCTTCTGGTCAGCAAGGCAATGAAAGAATTGTAACTTCACAGACGCAACATAATATATCTATGGGCAATCAGTCATTGACTCTTGCAGGAGGGTCATATGATTGTAATGTATGTGGACAGCAGTTTCAATTTCTTCCTGACTTAAGGACGCACTCTGTTATTCATGTGCGACAGCGCCCTCATGAATGTGTTGCCTGTGGGAAGAGGTTTATATTTCCAAGTGACCTGAAGAGACATATTCTTATTCATACAGGGGAACGTCCTTTTGAGTGTAATGTGTGCGGTAATAAGTTTAGAAAATTGAATGTTCTGAAGCGACATGCACTGATACATACTGGAGAACGTCCACATGAGTGCTCTGAATGCTCAAGGAAGTTTAGAGACATTACTGACCTGAAGAAACACATGCTCTTTCACACTGGAGAACGTCCACATGAATGTAATCTTTGTGAAAAGAAATTTACTCTGATATCACACCTAAAGAAACATTCACTTATTCATACAGGTGAACGTCCTCATGAATGTGGCGAATGCGGTAAGACATTTATACGAGTAAGCGATCTCAAAACACATACCTTGATACATACAGGGGAACGTCCACATGAGTGCAGTGTGTGTGGCAAGAAGTTTAAGTTGTCATCTCATCTCAGGAAACACACCCGAATCCACACAGGAGAACGTCCTCAGGAATGCAGTGTATGTGGTAAGAAGTTTACATTTCCTAGTGATCTGAAGACACATTCTCTTATCCATACAGCAGAGCGACCACATGAGTGTAATGTCTGTGGTAAACGATTTACTTTTCCTGGTGATCTAAAGACACACTTACTGATTCACACTGGAGAACGGCCTCATGAATGCTCAGTATGTGGGAAAAAATTCATGCGGGTAACACTTCTCAAGAAACACTCTCTAATCCACACAGGACAACAACTTCATGAATGTACTGTATGTAACAAGAAATTTACACGATTAACTCTGCTTCGGAAGCATTCGTTGATTCACAGGGAAGTGCTGCCACATGAATGTGCTGTGTGTGGGAAGAAGTTTACTTTTGCTAAGGAATTAAAAATGCATTCTTTGATTCATGAAAATGAACAGCAACACCACCAACAACTGCAGCAACATCATCAACAGCAATATCAGCAACAGCAGCAACTGCAACAACTGCAGAATCAGCAACAGCAGCTACTTCAGGAACAGCATCAGACTCCACAACAGCAGCAGCAAAACCAGCAACATCATCAAAATCAGCAACCACAGCAGCACAATTGGCAACACCTTCCACAGAATCAGCAACAACCTCTTGCATTGCAGTCTCCTCAACAGTCTTACGACTGTAATGTTTGTGGGAAGAAGTATCCATCTTCTACTGAACTAAAGTCACATTCACTAATTCACGTGGGACAACGGCCACATGAATGTGATGTGTGTGGTAAACGATTTGCATTTCCTAGTGATTTAAAAGCACATTCTCTATCCCACACGGGGGAACGACCACACGAATGTATTGTATGTGGTAAAAAGTTCAGTAAGCTAAATGTACTGAAAAGACATTCGCTGATTCATATGGGGGAGCGACCTTATCAGTGCAATGAGTGTGATAAGAAGTTTAGAGAATCAAGTGACCTGAGAAAACATGCACTCATCCATTCTGGACAACAGCCTCATGAATGTACTGTGTGTAAGAAGAAGTTCATTTTGATGTCTCAGCTGAAGAAGCATGCTGAAATTCATACAGGAATTAGACCTCATGAATGTGCTGTGTGCAGTAAGAAGTTTTTACGGTTGTCAGACCTTAATACACATACCCTCATACACACTGGCGAACGCCGACACGAATGTACTGTGTGCGGAAAGAAGTTTACGCTCGTTTCTCATCTTAAGAAACATTCTCGAATCCACACGGGAGATAGACCTCATGAATGCGCCGTATGTGGTCGAAAGTTCACATTTCCCAGTGACCTGAAAACTCACTCCCTTATTCACACTGTTGAACGTCCTCATGAATGTACTGTATGCGGTAAAAAGTTTATCTTTCGTAGTGGTCTCAAAATACACACGCAGGTACATGCTGGTGAATGACCATCTCATCATCTCACCTCAGCAAACATCCCAGAATCAGTGCAGGAAAACATCGCATGGATGCGCTGTATGTGGTGAAAAGTTTATGCGAACTGTTCGAGACTTATATAGATGTAAATAAACGCACACTTACCCGGTGTCCTACGTGAGCGATTAAATGCGAGTTGCGTGGGTGATGCGGAAATATCAAACTGGCCGTTTGTGTGGCGCTGTCCTAGGTTCCAGCGAAGCGGTCAGGAGAGGGAAGCGGCCAAAGTCCGAGATCAAATATTTTGATATTTTCGCGCGAGTCGCTGCGCTGGCCAGTAAGGCGCATGCGCAAGAAAGCTCTGACCATGCAGTACACGGAAGGCGCATGTGCAGGAAGGCCGCGTGCTTCTATTGCGGTCTCTCACGTAGGACACAAGCGATTCCCCGCTTCATATGACACCTCAAGCTGCTTATGCGGCTCGGGTAGCTCGCTTGTTATCGCTTAAGTAGGACATTGCCTTAAACCACAGTATAAATTACTTTGCAGCATATTCTTTGATCTACAAAAAGAGACATCCTCAATAATGTGTTATGAGTACTGATAAGGAAGAAGAGTGGCTGAGTGCTTTATCCTAGATACCAGCGTCAGTTGTGCGCATACATTTGTTCCTTGTTTACGCAGATAATTATGCCAGTTGGAACATACGACAGGTTTGTGCTTCAAAGAAGCAAGACCCGGACTCGGAGTAGGAAGCAGCAGCCGAGCTTTGTCCGCTTCTCCTCCTGCTTATACCCTAACTAAGTTGTTATGCACTGAATGTATAGTTCAGTACAATCTGCAGAGAAATTATTTGGTGATTCAGCTGAGATACAGCCTTTCTGCTACGCACGGTTACTGAATTTTTGCCGCGTTTCCTATTCGGCCAGCTACAATGGATGAAGTTTATCCTGATGAGTTAACAGTGGTGATAGGAGGAAGTGGTCGTCCTTGTGACTTTATTGTCTAAGATTCCCTTTGGGAATGAATTAATTACTTTACTAGAGCATTGGATGTTTTTAAGTGAATATTACATGAAGTGTAACTCAG